CTTGAAACATAGAATAAATACTCGTTTATCTTTCCCTTTGTACTTCGGAAATCTTGGCACGTATCCATTTGAAATAGCTTGTTCCTGATTCAACATAGACGCTCAACTTCTTGAGATGTCATTTCGAGTTTGGCATTACCAAATGATTGCGTGATTTATCATTTTCATTACAAACCTTTCATTGAGATCATAATAATTATTTAAAAATAAGAAAACCTATTTGGAGTGAAGGTTGATTTTGGCAAGTAAAACACGACCCATACATAATTTTTTTAAATTTTAGTTGTTAAAGTGTAATGTGACTCTCCAAATATATCGAATATGTTTTACCCAGCCTCGTTTAGGCTTAGATCGTTTTGAAGAAACTCATAATAGGCCTTTTAGAAATATTGTGGTAAATTTACCGCACTCTAGCTGATTTTATAGATTCTTTTTTGTAAGCTAAAATTTTTAGTTCTATAAAGATTACGGAAACCAGCTGCTTACTGTGTAGTGTGGCGAAATATAATTTCACGTGAATTGCTTAAGTTTTACGCTAAACTTAATTGAAACAGCTTTTTAAATAATCTTACCTTGTGTATTCTGTTAATAAGATACGTTATGGATTCGTGGCATTCAAGGGTCGCCCTTGTCACAAACGTCCAGACACTTCCAATCACCCACGTTTCGACCTTGATGCAGAGAGTCATCTTCAGGGCGACGTGACCTCCGCACAGTTATAGTATATCATAGCATGTCAATAGTCACTTGCTACTAGAACTGTGTGAAAGTCTGAGGATGGCACTCTGCTGGTCCGACACCTCGGTGAATTGAGGTTCTTCTTCATTTACGAAACAGTCGACTGCCAAAACTAAACATCTGCAGTGACCACAGAAAGCAATGCAGTAATAAAATTCATTCCGTCGATGTAAATGGAAGGAAACGTTATCTTTCTTAAAAATATCTTATCCTACAATGCTAAATTTTTTCGCATAATTTTTAAACCTCTTATCAAACTAATAACTTGTAGTTTCAAGTCTACTAACTAAAAAAATCCTTTTTTATGAGGAAACCAAAATATTTAATAATCTAAGTAGCCTATTTCAATTGCCAATTACCAACTCCTATGTCGTTGCCCAACACTTATTGAATAGACTGCGTCAAATAAAAAAAAATAATATTCTTGTTTAACCAATATTTACAAATAGAAAAACCACCGTCGATAGTGTTAACAAAGACTTTACACAGCTTGGTAATAAGCTACATGACAGGTAACGTTAAATATTGATATTTAATACTGCATGCAAATGCCAAACGCAATTAAAATAGGTACTTGTATATGCATAATGACGTATAAGTACATACTATGTGACGTCAGAAATCAATGCTAATTTATCACTAATTGAAAATAAAACAAACCCGGATATAATAATGGCAAAGTTATAGAATAAGCAAAAACAATTATTTTATCATGGTTTTTGGTTACCAAAACCAATTTGGAAACCACCTCACGTTGCTGAGTGATGAATTTCAGTTTTATTCTTTCGTATAATCTGAAATCTTGGCACGTTTACGATTGAAATTGTTATTTTTTATTCAACAGGACTTTGATCGTCTTGAGTTGATAAAGTAGGTAGGTATTCCATGTTCCATAATCCTACTTTCCTTTGAAGAGATTTAACAATTTCAAACGTAATATATTTCCCAATACGGCTTTCCATCAAGTTTTACAAAACGATAAATATTTCAATGTTTGTATTTAAAGTTAGTTAAAATTTTATTTATTGTTTCGTGTATATTTTTTAAGTCCTTAATACATTCATGAATCTCAGTCACATATTTATTTATGGTTTACATGCAATATTTGAGTGCAACTATAAATTAATCAATTACTGTAGATAATTCATACTAATATTAGAGCGTATATTTTAATGATACTTTAACATATGAATGAGTCCTTTCCCAGAAACTCGAGTAGTATGGGTGTAGGATATAATATAAAAGTGTCATTATGGACTACAGATTGTATTAAATTATTTTTGATTCAGCTTGAAGACTAAACAAAACATTAAGTAGTGTAAATATTGATAGCTTGGAATTAAATTAAACCAAAGATTTTGATAGACATGTCAGTCAAACTAGAATTGATTAAAGGAAATTCAATAAAATTATTAATAAATATTTTATTCAGTTCAAATTAGAACCATATTCAAGGGAACAAAAAGAATTGGGGAGTTGAGAGAATATTTAAAATGAAGAACAACACTCTTTTGATTACCGATAAAAGGTTCTTTTTCAATCACATCTTTAGAGTCGCTGTCTCCTCTGTATTAAATATTTGTTAAAACAAGACATTTGGAACATTCTCGTTTTATATGAATGTATTCATTGTATATTACAGTATTTTTATCTTTTTACGTTAAGCACACAAAAGTTCAATACTAAACATTGTATAAGCTTCAGCTCCTAAAGTGTATATTATTTTCTGAATAATACAATTTTCACTCCAGGTTTAAAGAAGAAAATGATCTTAGAAAAACGCTTGACGTACAAAAAAATATGTTACTTACAGCAAAAAATATTTCGATTAAAATAAATAATATTCTAGTTATTTTTCACATTTTAGCCATATATATTAATCTTTTTGCATTATAAATAATCATCAGGAAGCTTTAAGTCTGAAAAAAGTATTTTATACGATAAACATTTAAATTCAAAGTAATATACTATACGTTGAGAAGTAGTCATGCATAAACCATGGACGATAACTTTGTCCAGGTAAAGGGAGATTTGGTCACAGATATTTCTACAGGTGTATTTCCATTTCATTACACAAGCTGAGCCAGATTCGTTAGAACGTGTAATCGGTAGTCAACGCGACGGTAAACACAGTCAGTTTGGTTTCAAAAAAATCTTTCTCCTATTGAAAGCATTAAGTGATTTCTTTGTTATTTGAGGTATTCATTTGGACTTTCGTCTTTTGTAACAACGTTTGTGTTGCCCTTTTCCTCACTCTTAAAGAAGTAATGTATCATAATTTAACTAAAATACTTTTTGACTTAGAGTTAAACTTGCACCAAAATTTGAGTAACACATAGGCACCGCTTTCACTAGCGGTTAAATAAATATGTTGGTGATAAATTTCATCCGAAACGATAGTAACTCACTACTTAAATACAGTACAGATTACTAACAGTAGTAATTAGTAGTCATCATGGATATGTTAGTTTTGAGTTAATAGATTATTTGAATATGTATATATAGTTGTATAAATTAACCGGTAAAGGAAGCTGTTTCATCAGGTTATCTGCAAACCTAACGACCTGAGTTTGCAAATGAACCCAGGCTAATAACCTTTGAGCTCCTAGAAATACATTTCACATGCATGCAAGAGCATGTAGAAGACCATCCTTTATCTAACATCTGTCTTTTACTGTTATGACCCTTTTTGAAATAATAGTTTTAGTTTTGTCATTTTATTTTTACTTTGTTTTATGTTAAGGGGCACACTAATAAAATTTAATAAATATAATATGTGTATAGAATATTAATTTTGAAATTAATTCATTTTATATTTAAAACCATTGTTTGGGCCTTAAATTATAATTCACGCTTTGGATACTTTTCAACAAGGATAGCAGGTCTTTTCTGTTTGTGAAAATTACAAAGGAAATTACTCGCAGTATGTTCCTGTTAATTCTTTGGGGAAAATTTCGGATAACATAAATAATAAAAAAAAAACTGTTTATTCAAATTGTTACCGTAAGCTTGAATCGTATAATTTTTAAAATTTGGAAACAGATAAACAGATAGAATTACAGCGTAGGACGCAAGACAATGTTAATCTATCATGCTACATAAAAAATCCTCAACATTCACTATCTTTGCAATATTATTCAAGTAGAAAAAGCTTAAAATATTTTTACCTACGACCGTTTTTTAAAGAAGCCATTTCAGTCCAGTTCTTAGAATTGAAAAGTTTCACTTTACAGCGGTTTACTTTCATATCCGCATAGTTTCATTTCATATCCGCATAGTTTTCTCATATCCACACAGGTAACGGACCAATGAGGTTCAAGTATTGAGAGAAAAGAATTAAAATTTTAATGCTTCGAACGTCAACTAATCAGCTGATCAGCTGATCAGTTGACCAATTTAATTGTTGATCCGACTTGTTCATGTTGATACTCGCGTATTCTTAATTAAGTTGGTGGAAGTCCAAAAATAAATTAAATATTTGCCGAATTGTACCTGATACAATATTATTTATGGTAAGAATGCTGCTAGCAATGTAATATTTAACGAAGTTTAACAAACACGTAATTACAGGAAATCAGCTGACTATACAACAAGTCGTTGCATCACTTTCAGTGGCAATGACAATACACGAAAACATAACCTCTCTAAAAAGTTATCATTAGTGATTGTTAGTAATTAAATCCAGATTGATAGTAATTAAAAAACGGTCGTAGGTAAAGTAGTGTACGCAACTCGCGTTAATAGTCTTTACGACACTCGTAGAAGTTTTTAAGGCACTCGCCAAGGCTCGTGCCTTAAATTTTCTACTCGTGTCGTAAAGATTAACTTAACGCAATCGTTGCGTAAACTACTATTTCAAAATCTTTATTATAATGTTTTTATATGTAATGTGCAAAAAATGATTTTTATAGTATTTGCGAATTTTGTTGTTGTTAGTATTTGGTTTTTAGTGTTATAAGTTTGTGAGTGCTGATGGATTTGTTTTAACGATTTAGTAAGTAAAAAGAGTGTAGAGATGTAATAAATCCAAAACTTATTAATGAGCTCTTATTAATAAGTTTGAATAATTGTAAAAGGATTTACAGTGCAGAATCCATAAAAGGATTATTTCTTACTTACTACTGTACTTAAAATACTCAAAATTGCTTTTTCCTTTGAACTATGTTTTATTTTAAGGGAGAAACCATGTATCTTCGTCTTAAAGAAATAACATACACTTTAACAACGCATTCCGAGATTAATTTTCAATTAGTTTCAGAAAGATGGCGGATAACCACTACAACGTGACCGGCTATCCCCTCCACCATGACAACGACACAGAAATGTTTGGCTACGTTCCGTACTCTGAGAGACCAGAGACCTACATTGTGCCCGTCGTCTTCGCCGTCATCTTCCTGGTGGGAGTCTTGGGCAACGGCACCCTTGTCTTCATCTTCGCTCGCCACCGCACCATGAGGAACGTCCCCAACACCTACATCTTCAGCCTAGCCTTGGGTGATCTTCTAGTAATCATCAGCTGTGTTCCCTTCACCTCCATCCTGTACACCATAGAGTCTTGGCCGTGGGGAGAACTGATATGCAAGCTATCAGAAGCCACCAAGGACATCTCAATTGGAGTTTCAGTGTTTACGTTGACAGCTCTCAGTGCAGAGAGGTATTGTGCTATAGTGAACCCAATCAGGAGTCATATATCCTCGAAGCCATTAACTATTGTGACGGCGGTGTTGATATGGATTATGTCAATGATCTTAGCACTTCCAGCTGCTATATTCTCAAACGTACAGACAGCAGATGTTCAAGATAATCACACTATAGAGTACTGCTCTCCGTTTCCCAAAGAATACGGGAGCACCTACGAAAAAGGTGTTGTACTTTTTAAGTTTTTAGCGTACTACGCTATCCCGCTGTTTGTCATTGCAGGATTTTACATATTGATGGCTCGCCATCTAATGTTGAGCACGAGAACCCTTCCTGGTGAACACAATCCGAGCAAATCAGCCATGAACCAAATACAAGCTAGGAAGAAAGTGGCGAAGATGGTGTTGGCTTTCGTAATGATCTTCATTTTCTGCTTCCTTCCCTACCACATGTTCATGTTGTGGTTCCACTTCTACCCGTCATCACATGATGACTACGATGACTTCTGGCACGCGTTTCGCATCGTCGGGTTCTGCCTCAGTTACATAAACTCCTGCATCAATCCCATCGCCTTGTACTTTGTCAGCAAAGCTTTCCGCAAACATTTCAACCAGTATTTGTTCTGCTGTGTTCGCGCTACTAACGAGATCGGCGACAACACCATCAACAACCTCAACAGCTCTATATCGTTTCGCAGACACAACTCTGTGATGACAAGTCATTACTCTATCAGTCACAGTGACAAGTCCTGACGGTTCGTGTGGTGCGTGGACAAGTTCGAAGGTAACTGACACCCACCGCCTCACAGTATACGTGTAGTATACAACATTTCCTAGACCAGGGTTTGTATTTAGGTGTAACATGTGAATTTTTAGTGGAACTTGACTGCCAAAAACCTATTACCATGTAAACTACAACTGTATAAAAGTTATAAAAACACCTTATCCGGGTTTGTGAATAAAAACAAACATTGCTCACGATGTTTTCAAGATAAATGAGTTTGAAGAACAAAACCTTTCAAAAATACAAATTTTCCATTTGAGATATATAAAAAAAATAAATGAATTCCATTGAGCTGTTAAAAATATGTCAACACAGCAGTTTTACACCCATCTTGTGTGTGTATATTATGTATTGGAATTAGTAGTAGATTTCACGATTACGTAAATGTACCATCAAATACCAGAATCTTCTAATATTTTTGTATAAAATTATAGACAAATAGTTTGAAACCTTGTGGTGGAACAATCATACGCAATGAACTAATTTGTCTTTGCTTAAATGGTGTAAAAGTCTTCAAAAATATAGTTTGGCCGCTTCATTTTTTTTTAGTAGATATACCATCAAGATTGCTTTTGTGATAGGTTAATAATTGTAATGGGCCAAAACATTTAAAACTTTTTGTTTATACACAGCTGTATGGTTAACGAATGTTTTTAAAGACAGTTTTACTAGTTGTGTCATACGTTGTAGTGAGAAAAGAAAATGGGTTTCGGATTCATCTAATGACGTATTTCTATTTATATATCAAATAAATACGACACCCAAACAATTAACCATTTGATTACACTTATTCAGTTCATTAGTGTTCCTTTCAATGTAGGCCTACTTAAAAATAAGACAGTAAATGGTTTTCTAACGATTATAATATTTGATTACATGTAAAGTTTAGTGGGACATGTACGCTTTTTAGAATAATACTTTAACACAATTACTCGAACTAATACAACAACTGTTAGGTGATTTTAAGATCTCAAACGAATGTTTATCTCATTTTACATGCAATCTGTCCGATATTTCGTAGCATTTCATTCTTTTTTTTTGTAAAACCAACTTTAGAGATATTTTCTATCATATGTTTGGCTTAAATAAAACTTTTAAAATTATTATACTATAAAAATAGGAATCAAGCGGTTATTACAATCATTTGTAGTTAGCTTTTTCATAAAAAAATTCCAAACTTTGGTAGCAAAAACAGTTCTTTAGTCACATAAATTGAATGGTCAATAACATTGCAAATGATTTTATAGAATTATGCACGAACAATCATAATTAATTCAACTAAATATTGGAACTATAGTTGTGTGTGAAATACTTTCTGATCAACCTTTATCACCTGTTATATTACCTTGCACCCAGTCATATGTTATGATCTGAAGGATGTGTAAATGTTATTTTAGTATATTTTACTGTTAATTATTACCAATGAAATACATTATGTGATTGTTATTTTTGCAATAAACGAATATGTGATATAAAACGTTTATATTTCTCACCTAATCTATGTTTACTACACTTGATTTTGCCAAGGCTAAAAGATGATACATAAGGCTATGTAATCTTGGATATAATTAAAGGTTCTCAGGTAAAAAGTCAGCTGATAGCGTTTGGACTTAAAATACATCCAATATACCTTTGCAAATTAATAGAAGAGTCCAGCGATATTTATGAATGCACCAGGTTCAGATTGTTATGGCAATATTAAGAGGCTGTAATTGAACACATGGTTTGAATTTTAAAACTCATTTTAATAGCTCCGGAAGTGCAATATGGACTAATATGCCTCTTAAACCTGTCAGCTGTTCCAAATCATAAGTTGTGACTTTGCCTTGAATTTATATAGGAAGCAATATGAAATAATTTTCTTCGTACAAAGTAGTGAGAAAGACCTCTACCCAACCCTGGTCTCAATTTTGAGCAAGCTGTTTGCTGAGCTGGTCAGATTTTTTTACTGATTGCAGTGGTTTTTTACTCATGGTTTAAATCACTTGATTTCATATCTTTCATTCGGAAAACGCTTCCTAGTTACATCCATTCCGTTACATCCGATTTGTATACCATTTTTATAGATTCACACAGTCAGATGTGTTTTGATGGTTTAGTAATTAAGTTCTGCTTAACAGTTAAATAAGAAAATAAGTTGAATACATGTATAGGCCTACCACTACCTCTACACATCATTAAGGTAACACCAGAGCTACATGTTCGTTTTAACTAAAAAGAGAATACATTTTTAAGTAGTTGCTTAAGTATTTGTCTGCTGATACGCAATTGAGTTCCCAGTACGCTTCTAGCCAAGGAAATATATGCCATAAGCTCAGTTTTCAAATTGTGCAGTGGAATTTGGGTCCGTATGATGGATGCATAGTCTCTCTCTACAATTCAAGATAAAATGGTGTGGATAAGAGATCGAGGATTATGTTTGGAGCATTAAATCATTTCTCCGTTTAATGTTACGCATGCAGATTTTTTTGGTTTTGATTAGTTTTGGCAGGGGCTTCCTTCAAAGTTGGATTTTCTCCCATAGGGTTAACATGGGGGTATAATTTGTTTTGAAAATACATCGGTTTTTTTTATTATATGATTGAAGTGAAAATTAAAACTATTGACAGGGTATTCACAAAATATAGTGTACAGAGAGTTAATATTATTCAGAATGCTTTCGTTGCAGTTGCAAAATAAATAAAATATAAAACAAATTAAGTAGTTACTTTTCATTCTTAATCCGAACTCAACTGCTCGATTTCAAGCAACGGGCTTACTAGTCTATTTGATTAACATTTACCTTTTTATAAAGCCAGAGTGGTGAGATAAAGCTCACATTTGATTATACACAAGTGTACAGTTTCAGGCCCAAACACATTAAAACACCCTTCTCCTCTCTGAGAGCACTGGCTTGTAACAGTTAGGTCGTAGGCCTCGTCGTTAACCTGTTTAGGACGTCCTTGTGTATCAGGGATAATCTACGGGATGAAAGCCTATTTTACCAAACAAGTTAATCTCTTCAGTAGTAGTAGAATAGTTGTAAGTATTTAACTCAGAAGACAAATTAATACTAGTATTATTTTAGGAATCGCAAACATTATTTTTGTGCGGAGCCAAGATCAACATTAATTTGCCGTTGTTACGGAATAGTATATTTCGTACCTAGGGCCGAAAATGATGGTTTGCCGGCTCGTCTTGAATTTATTACGGTCGAGAGCTGTAAAACCCTTTCGGCCCGTGGTACAAACGCTTTTTTTCACCACACTATACAAAATTGAGATAATATGTATACTATAAATGCACACAACTACAACTTTAAGGTTATGTGAATAATAGTTTTGAGGAATCTACAAAAATAATAAGTCATTGCTTGGCAGCGGTTACAATAAAACAAGGTATATTGCATAATATGGATACTGCTTGTGTATCTTACTAATATTATAAATCTGAAAGTTTGTGAGTTTGTGTGTATGTTTGTGTGTGTGTGTGTGTGTGTGTTGCTCAATCACGCATAAACTACTGGACGGATTGGGCTGAAATTTGGCATGATGATAGCTCACATTCCCGATTAACATTAAAGCATATTCTTATCTCAAAAACCCTTTCGGGCTCCGCCCCAGTGGCTCTGTAGTTCCCCATGTTAATCTTATGATTTTTCATATTTAAAAGGAATTAATGAATCTTAACAGCTGTTTCAATTAAACAAGTTGGTTCTGTTCTATGATGTTCAATAGCATAAAAGTTACAAGGATTACCAACAGGGTGCAGCACTATTATTTTTTTTTTTAATTTATGACAACAGCTAATTTGCAACCAAAAGGTGAGTGAGCGTAGCGAACGAACTTCAACCTGGAGGCGAGTTAGCGTAGCGAACGAGCTAACCTGAAGGCAAGTGAGCGCAGTGAACGAGCTCCAACCAAAAGGTGAGTGAGCGTAGCGAACGAACTTCAACCAGGACGAGAATGAGCCATGCGAATGCTTATGAAGTTAAACGGGGCGAAGCCCGCGGGTACAGCTAGTTTAACATACATTAATGTTCTAAAGTAAATAAGCGAACAGCTGATTTTCGGCCCTATGGATGTAAAAACCTCCTTGGTCCCCAAATGACGATGACAGCTGGCATGGACAGCAATACGTAGCTTTCAGCCTCCAATCAACGTTTGTAAAACGTGGTGACAAATATTTCTTGTCTAGTTTAGTAACCACTTTAAAGTGTAGATTAGCTTACGATCCGTAGATGGTTATAGCTTTGGAAAAGGTTAAATTACATATTGTGGACAAGTGAGGATGACTCAGAACGAATTTAGAAATTCGAAATGGAATAATATTTCAAATAGCAAATGTTGAATGGCAGATATCTAACATTGAATGTCAAATATAGAACACACTATACAATACCTATTAATTAACAGCTAAACCATTAAAACCAAACACAATGTACTTGTGTTTATCAATATTGTCATACTTTCACATTATTCTAAGAGGTGGCTTGCGAGTCCCCCGGGTCCTTACGAATTACATTGAATTGCTTATATTGTTTGTAAGAGGCATTTATGTATCATATTTTGCTGACGCGGGAATACGAAGGAAACATTTTACAACAAAAAAATAAATAACTCTAGTTAAACACACAGCGTGTACATTTTGTTTACTCAAACATTTAACCGCAGACTATGAAGACAGTGTTCTATAGTCTGGGATTTAACTCATTTAATCCTGTTTATTCTACGATGACAAAAATATTTAATTGTTTTACAACAAAATACACGAATAAATTATTAAAAACAAGTGTCATGTTTCCAAACTTAGATATTTATTTAGCTATACTAGTAAATTAAATAGCATATTAAGTAACTAAATTGGTGCTTATTAGAGGGTTCTGGTTATGGCTACATAATTCTTTTCAGTTTATAAACTCATCTTAGTTTTAAGAGTAAAGGTAAACAATAAAAAGTCTGTGTACGGTCTGTAGATCGATCTCAGAGAAACCTGATCAATAAAAGGAATGTGAAGAAATAAGGAACCTTGGCATTGAGTTGTAGTGAAACCGTGCAGGATCGTAGACTCCAAGCTCTTTCATCGTGTTCTTTTGCTATTCCGAATTTTTTATTGCAGCTTATACAGCTCTTTGGGTTTTAAAATTCACCTAAGTAATTTCAAACATACCTTTAAAACAATAATACTTCCACTGCAGTAAACCTGCACACTAAGCGAATTTCAATTTGTCTGATTGAATTTTTATAATATTTCCATAAGACAATATATATATACTAACCATTTAAATTAAATTATATTTAATGAGTATCTAGGTTAGCTGATATGGGGAACGTAACAAGTGTTCCTTTTACAAATTTTAATAGTATAGGATTAAATTTAAAATAAATTAAAAAATTGATTAACATTCATCCATATACAAGCAAACGTTTTAGTTTTCTTTTTTCCATTAGAATGACATGGGAAGCTTAAATATTTAGTTTTTGGGAATTATCTCTGTAACTTTTAATTTTACAATATCGCTTCAATATAGAAATTTATTTTTTTAAGCTCTACGAGATAGATGCAATGATAATTGGACACTTTAATGTTTTAAGGGTAAAAAAATAATAGTAAAAAATGTGAAAATTTAAAACCCCCTATAATGCAATGTTCCTATGACCCGATCTTGCTGGTTCACGAACCCATTTGCGTTTATCTAGTTCGAAACCCCACAAAGCCTGATTTCATGAAAATCTGCCTAAAAGTACTTATTGGTTAACTAATTAGTTATCATCATGTTCACTGGCGTCTGGATAGTGTTTTTAGCCTCTGGAAACATTAAAATGAAAAAGTAATTTGGTTTTGGGTCTAGGTGTTACCGTGCCCCTTACGGTAATAACTACTTCCCAGTAGGGAAATTCACTAAAAGTAGGTATATTTGAAAAATATAGCATGCACATAGAATTACTAGAACATGTTACGGTCGTAACAATTAAAAGTCGAAAAACAATCTAAATAAAATTGAAAAGTATTTGGAACACATTCAGTTGTGTTTGTCTCTGTCATCGAACTGTATTGATGCATGATTGATGTTGTCACTCCATAATAATAAAACCTTATATGTTACGCAATTGATGAATGTAATTTTTCATTACGATGGTTATTATTTTTATATATGCAGAGTTTCACACAGTTGGAATTAGTAATACCATAGTTGTATATTAATTAGCATTTTGTTTTGTACAAAGGTTGATGAGCCAAATTAAATTCAATATTGTTTTTACGACTAGCTTCTGAATCACTTAAGAGAAGAGGCTTTTGAGCTTTGATTTTGAATTGACCTTTGTAGCATAGGAAAATAGGGTAGTGGCTAGTACAGGGATTTCCATAATCACCTACATTCAAATTTCACTCATTATTTTATCGTTTAGCTATGATAAGCCGTAAGCATATTTGCCAAATTTGAACAAAATGTATGTACAACTGCAAA